TCCTCATAATATCTATTATTTGGCTACATAAAAACAATTTTGGTTACTTACTTAATTAGGAACTAAATATCATAGAAAGTAAATTCTCTCCCTGGCACGATAGTCTTACGACTCTAAACGAATTCATAAACAATTTGCTAAAATATATACTTGTTCGTCGTTGTTTCAAGATCTTTGTTTTAGAATCATAAACACTTTTCTGTTTGTTCATTTTATTCCAGAGAAAATAAACTTTCCTCATCTGAGAGAAGATGAATCCAAAGAAAAATCCATGTTCTATAGATACAATCCTCGAGGCAAACTTTAAAAGCTAGCAATTGGATTTTGATTACTTCTCAAGCCATTTCCTCAAGTTCAAACATCATAATTATATATGGCTTTGTAATCTTGTTGCTAAGTCTTTCCCTTAGTTTTTTCATGAGGATGATTCATCACCTTCCATGGGCAAGTCTGGTTCTGATGCCCATTCAGTCCACGACCCATCATAGATTGGCACATCGGTTTTCCCTAGCCGGTGAAGCCCCTAACCGAGCAAGCAACTAAGTCAGTCTCCTCTCTGTTTGTATATAATCTCAAATAAACCTGGTGGATGAAGTTAGTAACTTACCATTGCCAGGATACAAGCTGTTACGCCAGTCCCACACGAGGCCATGATCGGCTTGTCTAGTGAGATGTCTGCACCAAAAAGCCCTGAGATCTTAAGACTGCTTTTATGTAAATAAAACTGTGCAACTCATTTCTTAAGTGGAGATGAAATAGTTTACCTTCTTGTTCAAATCGTTTCTTCAGCTCTTCTGCCGGTAACAGTGTTTGAGAAGAATCAAACATCTGCAGAAAGACGACAGGAAGTGAGAGAAGGAAACAAATTCTCTGGAATTTGTGATAAGAACCCTTTCAAGGTTACCTGAGGGAAAGGGACACACTTGCTTCCAGGGATATGACCGCTTCTTATTCCCTTACGGGGTTCTGGAGCGGTACCATCAAACCTGTGAAAAAGGCGTCAATCTACTATATCAAAACGAAACAATGAGTATCAACTTATTATGAAGCAAGCCTAGGGAAGGCATTTCATCAGGCGTAACAAGTGATAACTTTGCAAATAATAGTACCTGGCTTTGGAACGAGCGTCTACGTGTTGATAAGTCGGATCCTCCATGTTGTTCTTGACCTGTGTATTGATCAAAGAGAGTCATGACTTCAAAAACCAGGTACAGACAAAAATCTATCAAGATACTGAACTATAGCAGAACTGATATTTCACAATTGACATTTCTCTTATGAAGATTCGAATTTGTGGTTCAACAGACAATGCTTGAAGAAAGAATTAAATCATAAAACGTCAAATTGAAGACAAAACCATTCAGGAAAGGCCAACCTGATCAAGTTTCCACACTAGATGTGGCTGGAACTTCGTCTGAAAGGTTATTGGACTGACCTGTGCAGCCACGAGAGAAAAAAAAAATTGATATGGCGAGAAAAAACATATCTTCATTACTACAGTCTCACCATAAATCTACAGAAAGACGAAATAAACAACTAGTTCACGAAAACGTGACTTGCCATTTGTCCTTGATAGATTTTCTCTATAGCCTCACTTGCGGCACTGGCTTTCAAAATAGCATCACCTGATGCACTAGATTCAACATCATAACCTGAAGCACGCCATCTCGGTAGACCTCCATCGAGCACCCAAACTTTGTCATGTCCAAAAACTCTAAACATCCTATTTAAAGGTAAGAAAATAAAGGAGTACACATCAATTTCACCAGTACCTGAAGAAAAGACACTAAATAAAGCAAAAGGATTCAGAAACAAACGAGAGCCATAACTCACCACCATACACGGGCTGCACTAAAGATGCCCTTTCCATCATAAACAACCACACCATCTTTGTTATCGATTCCAAGAGCAGAACATCCAGCAGCAAAAGCTTCCTCAGATGGCAACATATGTGGCAACTGTTACAAGTAATTGAAATACCATACAATATTTTAGATGTTATAGCGCACAGAAACTAATAAGCAAGATGTTAAAAGTACAATAGGCCCACAAAATGGAAACTCAAAATAACATGAGTTAACAGCAAAAAGTCGAGATTATTCATTTGATCTCACAAAAGGCATAACTATATCTTCTCTGAATCTACAGTATGCTGTATATATATCTTGAAAATGGCAGAAAAAGAAGACACAAGATATCGATAAGGCTTCACATATTCATAAAAAGTGATAGCAATGTGAAGTCGAGAATTTAGATACAAACAACACGGTTACATCTTTCCCGGATGAAAAAGATATTTGATTCTTACACTTGTTGTTCGATCTGATATTCCATCCAAATCAAAGAAGAGGGCACCAGGAATATGAGCAACCTGTAGGAGAAGACAAAGTACGAGTCCATCAGCATCAAGTAAGTGTAGTAAATCTACTACAAGCTTTTGTTTCAGTAATAAAGTGTATTTGCGCTCATCCAGAACGAATGTGAGTAATCTGTTTGCTCTAACTCTCTCACCTGATATTCTTGGATCGGATTCCTCTGCTCTTCTGGCATGTACCATGAAGCATCCAAAACCTGAGACGAATAGAAACCGGTAAGTCTAAAGTATGGCAGGCAAAGTCTTGAAGAAGTCAACTGGCACAAAAGGGTAGTAGTCACCTTCAAATCAGGCTCTTTAAGATTAGCATGGAGCCAATCAACAGAAACAACAGGTTCATTGGTTGATGCAGATGACGTCGAGTAGCTGGATTTTGACCAAACTCCAGTAGAAGCCATGGCTCGAGCCCATGAAGTTGAGTTATAGACTGTAGAACCGGAGCCTACCTGAGAGTAGAATGCTCTTTTCTGCAATCATCATCACAACACACAAGAAACAGAGAACAAAACTGAGCAATTTTACATAGAAATTTCATTTCCTAATCTCCGATTACAAACTCAAATTTCAAAACTTTGATTCACACAAACCTCATCAACAATTATAAACCCTAATTCACAATCTAAAAGCTTCAAATCCCACTAGAACTACTGTCAAACTATACAAACTAATCCAGAAACTCCCAAAGACCCAGAAGCTCAAAAGCAGTGGATCAAACGAAAACCCAGTTGAGAATAGATCGAGAATCAAATTCGATTAAGACTTACACTAAGAGAAGCGGCGAAATTAAGAGTCTTTTGGGGAAGAAGAGAAGGAGTAATGAAGCGGTGACTTGCGGCCAAGAAACTTCTGGAGAAAAGGGTCGAGGCCATTTCACCTCAATCCTCAAATACAATGCAACAAAGAGAAAGATATGTTGAAAAGATTCTTAATTTTGTTTCTGTGAGATTGATTTGATTCTCTCTAAGTAGAAGACGAAAAGTTTGCAACTTTGCAATGCGTTTTTTAATTAGTACCGGTGATCTTGTCACTGCAGCCACGAACTGGTCAGGTAAGAGAGACACGACTAGGGCGTTGAGAGGACAAAAT